GGCTCAAGAATATTCAAACCTTGACTTCAGCAACGCTTTGATGGTTTAGGTTGGGTACTGTTCCCCCCCCCCTTCAGTGACAGTCTATATTAGGGGTCCTATTAAGGGCTATATATAGCCATATTATAAATATTCTCCAACTGTTACTGACCCAAGGTTTAGGGTTTAGCCAAACCCTAAACCCCTAAAGCCCTGAAGCCCTAAACCCTAAAATAGACTTTAGCGTTAAGGGTTTAGGGAAAACATCACGGGCCGCTGCGCCACTCTCATGTAGAGCGGAAGCTGTCCACGCGAAGGATGTCGTGGGTCGGGCGCCGGGAAGACGCTGTTGTCCACTAAGGCATCCTGCAGTAAAGAAGGATTTAGGGTTTGTACTTCCAGTACTAGAGGTTATCTGAGATATAATCTCAACTCCGAGCATCCCCCTTAGCACCCCCTATCTAATCCCCCTTCTAACCCCCTTGAAGGAGTTTAGGCTATAGCTCATCGAGTGGTAACGGAAAAGGACATGCATAGTACTCATAGTACTGTTAAGGGTTTGGGGCTTACAGACTGGGATTCCTGTTTGGGCTTATAGGGTAGATTTCTGAATCCAGCAGGATCTAGAGTTAAGGGTTTAGGGGTTTAGGGTTTAGAGCTTAGGACTCTAAAGCTTGCAAATTATGGCACTACTGTAGACTGGCGTCATGCAGGGCGTTCAGCATCAATAAGATCTCAACCCACGATGCAGTTCACCCGTGTTTCGAGTTGTCCATACTGCCATTCTCATGATGATGTTCATCATCATCATCATCATCATGATAACAGTCAAGTTTAGAATCTTACTTGTCGATGCTTTAATCAAGACATCTTGGAAAGGTTTAGGACCCTACTTAGGGTCCTACTTAGGTGCTTTTGTCGATATACATGTGGGATGCGATCTAGCATGCTTATGACTTATGGCTGGCTAGACTGGGTCGCTGCTAAGAAACTTAAGGGGATTCAATCCCTAAACCCTAAACCCTTTTATTTAGGGCGAAAGCGGCTCAACCTTGCGTTTCGGGTTTAGGGATCCTGGTCCCTCACGGTTCCAGAACGAAATGCCTGGCTGCATCGCCCTATAAATCCCTGTAATATTCCTTTAAGCCCCCTATATAGCACCTAATATCCCTAAAAATGGCTTTAAAAATACCCCAAATGTCAAGGAGCCATGATGGCGCGGAAGCCCACTGCCGTCAGCGCGCAATCGCCTGGTGCTCAAAACTTACAATGTTTGGGCATGTGGAGATGTGGGGGTTTCTTTCTCCTCGCGCATTTTAGGGTTCAGGGCTTAGCGTTCAGGGGAGATTGTGGAGCCCCTGTTTGAGGATGATTGTAGTTGATTTGAGCCACTCTCATTCAGGAGGTTACCGGCTTTTGGGTTAGGAATTCATCGGTCAACGTATGCAGCCAAACGGTGTAGGGTGAAGGGTAGAAATCGAATTAACCCTAAACCCTAAACACTAATCGGATTTGAGGCGTCGATTCTGGATTGGGTTGTGGAGGAATGTAGCACTGGCCCATTTGCTTGGCTTTAGGGTTTCGGGGTTTGGGTTTCAGGGTTTAAGGCTTTAACAAGCGAAAGGGTTGCCATGTATCCGTTGATTCGAACCCCATTTTGCTTTAAATCTGGACCCCTGCAAACCCGAAACCCTAAACCTTAAACAACAATTTCCAGAGCACCTGAAACCTGCACCACCTACCGCCGATTCCCGCTCGTACTCAACTGCCCTTAGGGTTTTGGGCTTGAGGTTCCTGGTTTACGGCCGAGTTTTATGAGTATGTAGGGCTTTTGCTCTTCATCAATCCCTAAACCCTAAACCCTAAACCCCCCCCCCTGGGGTTTTAGGGTTTTGGGTTTGGGGCTTCGGCTTCTAGGCTTGCCTAGACCCTCCAATAGGGTTTTAGGGTTCAGGGTATAGGGTTCAGGGTAATAAAGGGTAATATAGGGATAATGTAAGGATAATGGAAAAGAAAATGAAAACTACTATGATGGGATTAGTTCCTTTTTGGGTTTGGTATGGGTGTCTTGGTTAGGACTCTTATTTGGGGCTACCAAAGAGGTACCCTAAAGCCTAGACCCTAAACCGCTTCGGACGGTTAGGGTTTCGGGCTTATGGTTCGGAGTTGTCGCTTTGTTTCCAGCCTGTGTGAGTTGCTAGGGGTTTGGGGTTGAGGGTTTAGGGGTTTGGGGCTTTGGGGCTGAGACTGTTGGCTTGTTGGGACGTTCAAGGCTCAGGCTTATATGGGGTTTCCCAAAATTAGGGGTACCATTTTGGGGTCACTGTAATAAGGAGTATAATATGTTGGGGTCTATTTTGGGGTACCCCGATTTTGGGAAACTACCATATGAGCTGCAGTCAATATTTCCTAAAGCATAAATGGAAAGGAATATGGGAAAGAAGGTTGAAATGACTATAGTTTCTCAACAGTATTACACTTCTTTTGTGATTATATGGAGGCGGTCAAAGTGTATACCCCGCTTCTCGACTACATCATGACCAGCATGAAAACTTGGCCAGCGCCATTCTTTGAATTCCTCCCCTTACCAAGTCAAGAAGCGCCAGTGCAAGATTACAGTAGAAGCTCTCGTTGCTCATGATCAAGTTTTCTTGGTCAACATGGCTGCAGGGGTGTCCGTGCAGCAGCGTTGTTACCCCTAAATCCTAAACTTTATTCCCTAAACCCTAAACCCCCAAATCCTAAACCCCAAACCCTAAACCCTCCTCAAGAGGGCAGATTTTGAGGCGCATATGGAAATTCACATGAAAGTGAGTAGCAGTTCAAAAGTAGACGGCGTGGGGATTGTTCAGCTGCCCGAACGCTTCAAAACCACGACGCGCTTTAGGATTTAGGATTTTGGGGTTAGTTGTAAGAGTTTAGGGTGGAGGATGTTTAGGGTTTAGGAATAGGGGTTTAGGGGTTAGTTCTAAGGGCTTAGGGTGGAGGATGCTTAGGGTTTAGGATTTAGGGTTTGGGTGTTAGTTCTATGGGTTTCGGGTGGAGGGTGTTTTGGGTTTACGGATGCATGGCAATGCTGGGCATTTAACATTCGAGCTGCGATATGCTCAGCGTCTTCTCACGGCGGCCCAACAGCAGCTCTTGCCTGTGAAAACCTTACAAGTCAAGGGAAGTGTTGCTAGGCTATGTCATTATGACAAGGCCTAGAAAATTGGACATACTGTTGATGGAGGAAATCTTGCACCATCTTAAGTCCCTAAAGTCCTAGGAATTACAGTAGTTTAGGGCCTCTAGGTGGTGCAAGATTTCCTCCATCAACAGGATTGTTGCTCAAAGCTCCGGCTGGAGGATGCTGGCTTTTGCCTTGACCCAAAGTTTTGACAAACCTGAAACCCTAAACCCTAAACCCTAAACCCTGCAACAGTAAGAGCTATGAGCTTGAGATTAGGGCCCTTTGTTGAGGGCTCCGAAAAAGGTGAACCCAAGCTCTGCGGCCCAGATTCTCATTTGGTAGTTTCCCAAAATAAAGGGACCCCAACAGAGACCCTAATATACTATCATCCTTATTCTAGGGGGGCCCCTACAATGGTACCCCCTAATTTTGGGAAACCCCCATCTTAGGTCTGGGGTCATGGCTATTTAATCGAGAAATCTGCATATGAGCTATAGTCTAAACTCCTAGTATCCCCCTTAATAAGCCCTATAGTAGTCCTCTATAATCCCCTATATAACCCCTTTTAAGGAGTTTAGACTCTAAACCCTAAACCCTATCTGCTTCTGCTGGACCTTCCCGGGGCTTAGGCTGTTGGCTCTGCCGACTGGGACCTGCCTTTGCCAGGCCCAAAGCAGCGGAAAAATAAAAATCGGTGGTTGTCAAAATTATGGTCCCTTTTTGGGTACCCTAAATATAGGGATTATAGGGGCTATATTGGGGTTCTATGGGGATAATGGAAAAGAAAATGGAAACTATTATATTGGGGCTATATATACCCTATTAATCCCTTTTTTGGGTACCCTATTTATTATGTGCCGTATTATAATAGGGATCCAAAAAGGGGCCATAATTTCGACAACTACCCAAATAGGTTTCTGGGTCGGGAGGATACACTCACGCCACCCCTCCTTCAAAGGGACATGTCCCGTGCTAGTTGAAACACAAGTGGGGGCGGGGTTCGGAGCATGCTCGCCTCAGAGTGACAGCCAGCGAAACGGTTGTGATGTCAACGTTGACTTCGTTGGCCACGAGGACGAAGCACACAACGGGGCCGGCACTGGAGAAGTTGGTGACACCGTCACAGGTGCAGCTGGGGCCGTCCTTGTCTGAGCTGTAGCTTAAAGGCTTAAAGGGGGTTATATGGGGGATTATATGATGGAGTATTATGAGGGTTGGTGAAGGGAATACTATAGCTTTGCCATTCCCACAGGTTGAAACTGGTTTAAGAATCAACTCAAGACCTGCGTCTTCAGGTAGTTTGCAAGGAGCTGCTCGACATCCCGAATCCTAAGTCCGGACGAGAGCATGATGTCGGCCTTGAGCTGCTTCTTCGACCAAGTGTAGGCACGGCGCATCATCTGCTCTGACCTAGTGTAGGTTTGGGTGCCCTACCAAAACAACTGTGGGGGATGAATAGGTAATAAAACCAAACTGATTTCGAACCTATCTCTGTGACCTTGTGACAACGCACATTCTGAGATCCGGCTGTTCGATGGTCTTGTCAAGGGCTTCCATGATGGGCTTTGCCTCGCGCCACTCTGCGACAAGCAGTACGCTTCCCCTTCTGCCCTGTAGCCAGCTCTGGAAACCCATGCACTTCTTAAAGCATAGGAAATTGAATCCGAACATCTCTGCCAGATTCTGCATTTGTGCGCGCAGTTCGTCTTGCTCCGGCTTCTGGCAATGCTCAAAGCACCAAACCAGGCAAGCCTCACTGTCTGGGGAAGAATCCACTCCGTGCCACGCCATGTCAGCCCCGCGAATTGCGTCCGACCCGAGCCTGGAAAACTGCAGACAAATGGCTTCAGAACATCAGATCAATCATGGGTTCCCCTACTACCTCCCCTCTCTCCCTTGCCCCCCCGAGGTTCCCGCCTTAGATAAGGTATTTAGGGGTAATTAGGCCGAATTAAGGTTCATTGAGGGGGAACCTAGAGGGGTAGTCTTGGGGGGAATAGTACGGGAGTAGTAGGGGAACCCATAAATCAAATACTGTCCGGTGTATCATGGGCAGCTTCAAACTCCGCGTACACTACAAACTAAATCCCTATGTCAACCCAGTTTCCATTACGTTTTCCATTTTTTTGCCATCTGATTCTCGATTATTGTTGGTTGAGAGGATTTGGGGATAGGGTGCCATGAAGGCATTATATAGGGATTCTGTACGAGGCTATTATCCCCATAATGGAGAATCAAATGGAAAAGCAAATGGAAAATGACATGGAAACTGGGACTATATTTGGGCTTATAACGGTGGATACTAAAAATCCTGCACGGCCATAAGTACCTTATACCTTGGGAATTATGGTGCTATTGTATACCAAGGTTGTGAAAGATTTTTGGCATCAAGTAACTCATCCAGATTTTGGCGTCCTTCGCGATTTTCCTACACAACCGTTGCATCTTTCTAGACTCGAGCTGGTAGCTCAAGTTTATCAGGCATGTGCCAATAATTCCCGTGCAGCAGAACGAGGGTCCCCCTCAAATGGCGCAGTTCAAAAACTAGGTATCCACCCTATATACCCAAAGCATCGTCACAGCATCCATTTAATTTGTCCATATTCTTTTCATTTCATTCTCCTTTATGGGGTTAGCACCCCCATACATAACAACACTTTTCTTGCCCCAAATCCCTAAAATCTGAATCAAAATAAAACCCCTAAAGCAGTCCATTTTGGTACTCAGATCGTCAGGCAGCCGCCGACACCAGTTGAGCTATAGTGTCAACTCCTTGAAGGCGATTATAAGGGTTCAGGGCCTGAAGCCTAAACCCTAAACCCTTGCCCCCATAAAACCTCAATATTAGACCATGAGCGTATGCCTTCGAAAGCCCTGAAACCGATAGCCCTAACTCCGAACCCTACAATGTAAACCCCTACAAATTTTAGGGTTTGGGGTCTACCTGAACCCAAAAGTATGTAGAATAATCGCCTTTTGCGCTGTCTTTAAAGATTTTGAGCTACTATTTTGCCTACTGTTGGGGTCCTAAACCCTAAACCCTAAACAGTGATTAGTTCCAGTTTTCTTCTCCAATATCCCCATATAATCCCTATATAACCCTAGCTCTAAACTACATCGTAGCAAGTCTGAGAGCATGGCTGAGGTGGAGCTCGTGCGGAGCGTTGTCCGCCGAGACCCCTACGCCACACATCACATGCATTTGGGTTTAGGGTTGAGGGTCTAGGGCTTAGGGCTTGGGGTTTAGGGTTTAGGGCTCAGGCTTTAGGGCTTAGGGCTTAGGGTTGCTTAGGGTTTAGGGTTTAGGGTTTAGGGTTTAGGGTGTTGGGCCTTACCCAGTAATGGTGCCCATAATAAGGGGTAATGGTGATTGTATTACGGGCCTCGTATAGTATTCCTACCACACCACAATTACACGGTGGTGGTCCACGTAAACTACTACGGGGGCCTAAATAATTACCAATATCATGTTGAAGTCCATTTGAGGTGCCGTAAACCATAGTTATAGAAGGAATATGGAACCATCATATTGGTAATTATTTAGGCTCCTAAACTACGCGCTAGGAAGGTCCCAAGTGTTGACCATGAAGGGTAAAGGGCGTCTGGGCTGGAAAACAGGACCAAAAGGCTACGGTGGCATGGAACCCCACCCTAAACCCCTGATCCCTAAACCCCTAAAGCCTAAACCCCTAAACCCCTAAACCCTACACCCTAAACCTCAACAATGTAGTTTCCCTAGAATAAGGGGACCTGAAAGTAGACCCCAAACACTATAATCCTCAGACTAGGGACCCTGCGAGAAAACTACACCCCCCCCCTGCAACTTTGGGGAAACCCTGAGCCCTAAACCCTGTCCCTAAATCCTATATATCTCCTACGACCCCTTTAAACGTTTAAAGGTACCCCACCCTAATTTTGAAGAAAAAACCATGATTGGTTACATCTGTTCATTCCAAAGCTATCTCTGGGCCATGCTTCAGAAACTAGCGGTTAGGTTTTTAGGGTTTAGGGGTTTAGCATTTAGGGTGATTCGGATTTGTTGACATCTGGTTGAGGCAGGGAATCACAGAATGGGAAAGACAGTGGAGACTAATCCACCATTGGGTGGGGATTCTACCCTAAACCCTACGCCCTAATCCTGAAGCCCTAAACCCTAAGCCTTGAACCCTAAGCCCTCAACCCTAAACCCAAAGCCCTAAACCCAAAGCCCTAAACCCTAACCCCGTCAGGGTTTATGGCCGGAGGCCGAAGATTTTCTACAACGACAAAATTTGCAGGATGCTGGTTGTTTAGGGTGTTGAGGAAAAGCCCTAAACCCTAAACCCTAAACCGTGAGGCCGTTTGTTTCTGAAGGTTCCCTTGACTTGTGCATTGGGATTCAGACGGATGCATTGCTTGTCAGAACATAAGCGAGTTGAAATAGCCATCTGGCTTTTGATCTAGGGTTTAAGGTTTAGGGTTTAGGGGTTTAGGGTTTAGGTTTAAAGGTTTAGGGTTTTAGGGTTTAGGGTTTTGGGTTTAGTCCCCAAACCCTAAACCGAGGCTAGCCATGAACCTCTTCAAGCAGCTTCTTCGTACCCAGCTTCAGAGGAACTGTGCTACACATATCTTACACGCTTTAGTGACCTGTAGCTTGTGTCCTCCCCCCACCCAGTAACACTGGACAACAAAGGTCATAATCAAAGATATAGGTATAATAACATGCAAGCTCCTTAATTGATACATATTCAGGTATGGAAAATGGACCGGAAAATGACATTTTAGCATGAGCTTCATGAGAATAATCTTTCGACAGATATCAGAAAGCTTCCCGTAATGCTCCAAATAAGCATCAGGGTTCATACAATTATGGCAGAAACAGCACAAGACATTATAGACATTAGGTCTGCAAGTCTATGCCAGGAATTAGGTACATTATGCATTATTTAAGGGGCTGTACATTAAAAAAAAAAAAGAGGTATATGTAATCATAAACCTGCCTGAAACTTTTCAGGGCCACATAGAGGCTCTTTAATATGCATGTTGAGACATTTGATTTTCGAAAAATAACATGCTGAAGTTCTTCCAAAGGAGGCTTTAGACAGAGGTTGTCCGAAGACTATCTACAAGACTACATAAGGAGGTATATCAAGGCTGCAGACGAAGATAAATGACACCTGTAAACGGGTTTGTACATTAGATTTCATTCGGGCCCATTGTTATTATACATGTTTCGGACAAAGGTTCGACATCTAGATGTGATGAAATACCAACGAAATTTCTGCCTGAAATGTGGATATCTTCCCAGATATAGCAATCAATCATTTAAATGATATAAGAATTGGCGAAAGAAAATACGTTTACTGGAAAAAACCCAGCCCTCCATGCAGTCACACCCTCCAGAATAACATTACGGATATTATCCAGCTGTTCATGATTTTAATGAGTGGGGGCAGTACTCAACCTGTAGCCACATGAAGGGACCCACTTGCAGGTGTTCCTGCATAGACAGAAGCAACACTGTATGTCTAGGTTCTGAGCATCTTAATGCCCAAACCTTAACTCTAAATCCTAAATCCTAAATCCTAAGGTTGTGAACATCTGAAGGCCCAAACCCTGCAGAACGCAGTCCTTGCAGCCACCCACTGAGGAGGATTGCTGCCGTGTCATCAAAGGTGGCGATGCCAAAGGCTCGTAAGCGCTCGATGTGAATGCTTTGCGAGGACAAGCTGTTGAACCTGCGTGCTCAGGGTTTAGGGCTTATGGTTTAGGGCTCAAGGTTTAGGGTTTATGGTTCAGAGCTCAGGGTTTAGGGTTTAGGCGCGGTTCAGACTTTAGGGTTTAGATTTAGGTGTATGCACTTTTTTGGCGTTGTCCGAAAATTCTGCATATGTCAGGCCAGGCACATCGACTCGATGTGCTCCATCGGGATGGGATTCCTGAGTTTTGCATGGCTTTCAGGTTCCGGGTTCCTGATTTGGATGCCTATATCAACACCTAAATAGCCGCTATATAAGTATAACCCCTAAATAACCCCTATATAAATATGACCCCCATAAAATCCCTGTATAAACCTCTAAATAAACATAACCGCTATATAATCCCTATTTAAACCCCTATATTAAACCCCATATAACTCTGCACCTCTGAGCACACATCAACTTTCGAGGGAGTCTGAGAGTTACGTAAAGCCTACTTCCTACAGTGAACCTTCATCAGGCCGAATTCTCCCAAAATAACCTTAAGTATGGGGGGGCCTAGGAGAGGTACTATGGGGGGGCCGGGAGCGGGGAGCAGGGGGAGGCGGGGGAGAGGGGGGAGAGGGGGAGAGAGGGGTGGAGGGAGGGGGGGGGGGGCGGAAACCATGTATTTTAGTTACCACAACCCCTATAATCAGGACCCTACAACTATCATATCACTATCCTCGGGTCAAAACTAAAACCCTCCTTAATACGCAGGGCCCCACACGATGGCTGATGTACAAGCTGAGATGCCCCCTAAACCCTCAACTAGTGTAGGTTTGGGGGCCGATAAAAATCAAATGTTCATGGCTTTATGAGGATTATGGTAATAAAGGTTCACAAGCACTTTCAAGCCTACCCCTGTAAACCCTAAACCCGAAACCCCTAAACCCTCCTGAAGGCAGCTCCGTAGCACGAGAATATGTTCGGATCCATGATCATCTTTCATTTTACAAGCCACAAGCCCTAGTAACAGCGACTATAAAGGATGACAAGGCTTCATATTTGGGACCTCTTATATTCCTAGTATACCACTATTACAGGGTGGGGGGTCCTCCTAAACACCAGAAC